TCAGTCGGCTGAGGGTCCCACTCTTGATCTGGGCTTAGGTCGTGATTTCACGAACCCTGAGGTCGAGCACCACATCGGGCTCCGCGCTGGCAGCATGGAGCCTGCTTGGGATTCTCTTTCTCTCTCTGCCCCTCCTTGATCTCTCTCTCTCTCTCAAAATAAGTAAAACATTAAAAAAAAAAAGAATTCTCCCTCTCCCCCAACTAGGGGCAATGAGGACACCCCATATGAAGCAATACACAGACACCCTTACCCTTGCAGCAAGGCCCAAGCTGAACGGCTGGTCCTGGAAGCCAATGGAAGGAAGGTGAGACAGGAGAAGAGACACAAAGTGGGGGTGTGGAGGGCTCCTGGTCAGAGGCAGAGCCAGGGCCAGCAGGACTTTTTTGTATCCAATCTCCAGATTGAGGAGGCCAGTTCAGGCCTCTGGGTCCTACGTCTTAGTCCTGCCTGCCTTTTGCCCCCAGGTCCATGGGGGACTGTCCTTGGTGACATGTGCCCTGCGTCCCACTGGCATCTACGGCGAAGGCCACCAGATCATGAGGGACTTCTACCACCAGGGCCTTCGTCTGGGGGGTCGGCTCTTTCGGGCCATCCCAGCCTCTGTGGAGCACAGCCGGGTCTATGTGGGTAAGGCCCAGCCTACACGGCAGGCAGGCTAAGAACAGGGCAGGACCCATGTGGTCCCGGGTGGGCGGTGTGTGCCCTGGCTAGAAAAGGGTGAGCCATATGTGGACCAGAGTAGACGGAGATGCAGGCGTTGTCTGCGCAGGCCGCAGAGGAAACTGCAGTTGTGTGAGTTGGGAAGGCTAACGTAGAAAACATGCCACAGGCTGAGGACAGGACTGCAATTACGGGAGCGGCCTCTCCCCGGGAGAGGACAGGGGCAGCATCTCCACAGGGCCAACAGAAGAAGTAGCATCCATGCAGGCCGGCCCGGGAGGGCAAGTGGCTACAGGGCAGAGGAGAAGGCACCCTTCACCAGCGCTGTGGTTATGTGGGAGTGCCTACGTGAGCCCACGGAGGGGGTGTGGCTTGGACACGGGCCTGCCCAGGGGAGAGCAGCGTCTGCGTTGTCTCCAGGGCACTCAGGGGCACATTCGCCTCCCCTCCTCCACTGGCAGGCAATGTGGCCTGGATGCACGTGCTGGTAGCCCAAGAGCTGGAGCAGCGAGCTGCGCTGATGGGCGGCCAGGTGTACTTCTGCTATGACGAATCACCCTATAAGAGCTACGAGGACTTCAACATGGAGTTCCTGGGCCCCTGTGGGCTGCGGCTGGTGGACACCCGCCTGCTGGTGCCCTACTGGCTGCTGATGCTCCTGGCTACTCTCAATGCCCTGCTGCAGTGGCTGCTGCGGCCACTGCTGGTCTACGCCCCCCTGCTCAACCCCTACACGCTGGCCGTGGCCAACACCACCTTCACCGTGAGCACCAACAAAGCCCAGCGCCATTTCGGCTACAAGCCCCTATTCTCGTGGGAGGACAGCCGGACCCGCACCATCCGCTGGGTACAGGCCGAGGAGGGTTCAGCCCCTTAACAGTGGAGCTGGGGCCCTGGAGCCCAGCATGGCACATCCATCCAGGTCCAGAGCCCTCAAACCCTGGGTGGGGAGGGAAGGCTGCATTCTAGAGCTGGAAGAGGGGTCTGGTGCCACACTGGTTATCCTACAGCTCTCCACAGTTTTAATCCCGTGAGCCTTCAGTCCATGTCCTGATGCGTCCAAGTTCTAGGGTAGTGTTTTGGGGCAGGCATGTCTTCACTCTCAACCCAGGCCTGATGGCTGGTTGGCGGATGTCTGATTCCCCTGATGTTCTCAACTGCCCATCCCATTTCTGGCTTTTCGAGCGGGAAGTGAGTAGGAGTTCCATGGGCTTCATGCTGGCTTTCTTGTGTCCAGGTGTGACCCTCAGGCCTGGATTCAGAGTGAAGATACTTTCTGGCTCCTGTCACCACCTTTGGCCCTCCCTCAGGGACCACAGTCCCATTATTTTCAAACATTGATCACCTTTGGACAGCTCTTTTCAATGAAGCCTACGCAAATCTGTGTATTTTTCCTTCTTCCCACCCCTCCACCCAAATTAGTTCCTGCAGTAATGTTCGATCTCTGCCTGAGGATGCCCTGGTAATGCTGTACCTGGCCAAGCCCTAGATTAAAGTTCCTTATCCAAGCCTGTGCCCATCTGCCTGTTCAGCTCTCCCTCCCGCCTCCCACCATGTCTCCCCCTTCCCCACGGCGCCCGTCCCGTGTGGGGACAGAAGGAAGTGAGCACACAGCACGCCCGCTGTTGGATTGGTTGCTATTTCTCCCGTCCCACGGGGCCCGACCCGGCCCGGGGTGGGGGTGGGGGGGGGGGCTCTGGGGACAGGACATGCAGGGCAGGGGGCGGGGCAGAATTTTCCTGTGTTTTATCCATTTGCAACTTGGTCACCAATAGAGAGAAATGGGACTCTGAGGGCTAACAGGAGAGGGTGGCCTGGCTCTGGGCCCCCAGCCAGGCCCCAGGAGTCCTGTCCCCTCTGGGGAGGAAAGGGAAAGAGCTCTAGAAACCAACGGAGAAACAGGAGGGGCAAGGGCTCATGTCAGCAAACACGGCTACATCACGTGACACGCCAGCGACACGGAAACACACGCCAACGCACACGGCTGCACAGCGGGAAGGGGGCAGTGGGGGGAAGAAGGGAGCCGGGCGCCACCCATCTTGTCCTCTGCGGGGCAGGCTGGGGGGACAGGGTGAATGCATAGAACACATCATGTACACACGCTCAAGGCGTGGCAAGAGCGTGCATCGACCCACAGGCACATGGGATGGACACGCAGTGTGCTTCATGAGAGGCGGGGCTAGGGAGAAAGGGGACGGGGAAGCAGCGAGCCCTGGCCAGGCCCAGGACCACCCACAGGGCACACATGGGCTTGGAGGTTGTAGGTGCACGGAGGGTGAGCAGCACACTCATCCAAGAACATGCAAAAGCCACCAGCCCCCAGACAACATTCCAGGACGCGTACAGACACGGCAGCCAACAAGCAAACACATCATATGACCTGTGGGACTTGCAGAAGGTGGGGCACAGCAGACCCTCGGGGATCCTCTGGTCCAATGGAGACCCAGGAATGGACAGCTATGGGCCTAATACCACTCAAGGAGGCAACAGCATCATTCCAGCCGTGGCTCCACCCTTGTTCTTGTGGCCCCAAGGCTGTAGGAATTCCGGAAACACCGGGGCCACAAGGGTGTCCTGGCTAGGCAGCAGGAAGGAAAAAGGGTGGGGATGCTGGGGCCTGCTCTGATGTCCCCAAAGAAGCCTGAGATGGGAGCAGGAGGGCTGTAATCAGACACTGGGGCAAACTGCCTGTCCTGAAGAAGGACATTCTTGGAAGGGACAGACAGGCTCCCCTCCTCAACAGAGCCCACCTTGGGGGTTACATATATTGGCGTCACACAGGCAGGGCTCACACAGCTCAAGTAGGGTCAAGCTACTTGGGCTGGGTGAGGGCGGGAGGGGTATTGCGTTCCAGAAGGTCACATCCGCATTGTCTCCCTGTGTCTTTGTCTCCCTCCCTCCCTCCCTCTCTCTCTCTCTCTCTCTCTCTCACACACACACACACACACACACACACACACACACACCACTTCACATGAAGTGGGACCCCGGGAGACAATCTGCACACACCCACCCACCCTGGGGCAGGGTGTACTTCTTGTGTGTTCAATCCTGTATATGTGGGTCCTTTGCTCATGCATCTCCTGCAGCCCCGCCACCAACCTTACCCCCCAACCCTCCATGCATAATGCATGTGCTGTCTACACAGTGAGGGAGGAGTGGGCCCTTTCTTCACCCTCAGAAGCTCGGGCCTGTGCCCTCACCTTCAATCTCAACCCAGGGGACGGGCGGGGGCGGGGGGGGGGGGGGGGGGGGGGGGGGGGGGACAGCTATTGCCAACATTTTGGCAGGGGATGGGTCCTGGAACTCGGCTCACCCTGAGTGGCTGCTGCCAACCGGCCATTCCAGTATTCCTGAAATAACAGTTCCAGTCCCTGAGGCAGAGTCCAGAGTGTCAGATGTGGTGGTGAGGACAAGCCCTGGCCAGTTCGGAGGTAAATGTGTGGAAGGCAGGAATGCCCTAATTTTCGGTCTGTCTGGGGTGGCCCTTGACATTCACCTCGTCAGTAACATTTCCCACAAATAGCCCTTTTGGGTGGCATCTACATGCAAGTGGGTGCAGCCTGAAAGGGCACCACGCCCGTGGGAGCGTGCATGTTCCTGTGTGTATGTATGTGCCTCAGTGGGCCCCCCGCACGAGGCCCCCTCAGCCCGGGCATGCGTGAGCACACCGAGGTGCACCCGCTCTCAACAAAGGTCTACCCTCTGGCAGAGACACAGAGAAACACAGGCGTGTGGGCACGTGTGCACAGGGGCTCTGAAACCTGGCAGGGCAGGAAGCTGCAGTTGCACAATGTTGATGGGACGGTGTGTGACCACACCAGATGTTGGTCAGCAGCTCTGGGGAGAGAGGGAGAGGGCAGATACGTCCAGATAAACAAACCTGGACGGGCACGTGTCTTTAGAGACAAACGTGTGTGCATATAACACACAGGCGGGCAGAAACACACCACGTAGAAAGCCTCTAGACACACACGTGGGCGCACGCGCACACACTCTCACACAGATGTATTCCACATAGCACAGAAATGTGTATTTTTGGGCCTACCCAAAATGGGTGTCCAGCGCACAATATGGAGAGCTCTGTCCGAGGAGAAGACCCATCAAATTTCAGGCATGTCCTTGAGACACACGCGCGCACACACACACACACACACGTATTCCTCACATTACCTGCTGGGGGAAATGCACACGTATACACAGGCCGAGCTAGCTTATTTACACGCTTCCACTCACCTTGGCTAAACTCCACAGGCTCACAATACACACACATGCACACACACGCTCCCTGGGACACATGCCAGCCCCTGGGGTGCCTAAGCCAGGAAGGTTTGCTTAACATCACACTGGGGTGTCTGCCATGGCCTATGTGTGTCTGGGCCCACCTGGATCCTCTGGGAATGTGAGTGTGAGCGTCTGTACACTCACGACCGGCCCTACCTATAGCAGACATGGGGGAGGTGGGGATCCGTGGAAGAAGTGCTGTTGTGTTGGATTCAAACACTCAAACACAAAATTCCATGTACGCAAATTGTGTGTCTGTGGATCTGTGGCCACACACACACACACACACACACACACATCTATTCACAGAAGACAGAGCGGGGCTTGGTGGGCTGCTGTGTTATACCCGGCCACAGTCTACACACAACAACCCAAGTGAAAGGG